TCCCGCAACTTGTCCTCTTCCATCCCGTCAAAGTCAGGCTCCGTGAACTTCTGCCTCTTCTGGGACGGTTCGCCATCAGAACCAGTGGAACCCCCGCCCCCATCAGATGCCTGAACAGGTACCACCAGCTTGTCCACCAGCAGGTTGGCCTTGACCGCGACGAGCAACTCTCCGTGGACTCCAGCCGCCGCCAGCAACGCGTCCAGCACCGACGTGTCGATCTGCCCGCCAGCAGCAGGCTTGGCACCATCAGGAAGCTGCGGAGCAGAGTTGCCCAGCTGTTGCAGCTGGCCCTCGAGCTCCACGATGACAACCCTCTGGGCTGCTGCTTTAGACTCAGCTTCTGCCGCATCCTTCTGCAATTGCGAGAGCTCAGCCGCCTTAGCAGACGCAGCCTTCTCCAACTTCTGCAACTTAGACGTCTCATTATGTAGCTTCGTGGACAACTGCCGAATCTGCGCACACAGCGGTTGCTTGGAACGCCGCTTCTCCAGCAACGCACCCTTGGCCGCCAGCGCATCGGCCGCCACCTGCTCCATGCCTGGCACGCCGACACAAGCTGCATGGATGCCCTCTTGAGCCGCCACCTGCAACATAATCTTAGCGTCCTCGTCATCCTCCGACTTGCTCTGCTCAGCGAGCTGCACCCCAGGCTGCGCCCCACTGGGAAGCTTCTGGGCATTCTGCTTGCGGAGCTCGGCGACCTCCGCCTGCAGCCGAGCGAGCAACTTGGCCGTGTCCGATGCCGTCGCCCATGGAGGGGAACGCTCGGGCTTGGGCTTGCGCACCGTCGGGACCTTGGGCTCCACGTTGCGAAGGAAACACGATCCCTTGTGCATCCCTCCACATCCGTCTTTGACCCGCCCAGCACAGTACATCTTGTACCCTGGATTGACCCAAGGTTCACCAGAGCGCTGCACACAAAAGCGACAAAGCCAATCCTGCTTCTCAGGCGGAGGGGCCATGGCTGCGACGGCTGGGGAGTCAGGTTGGAGGCTCGCGAACCCCTCGACCGAGGGACCTCCGTACACACAGTTATCTGCCGCGGACTAGCGGTATCCGTTTTTGCCAATGCGGGCTCAGCCCGCCAAAGCATAAGTCTTGAGCCAAAATGGCTACGGAGCAGGAGGAGGAGGAGAATAAGGAGGAGGAGGAGGAGGAGAAGGATCGAGGATCGAGGATCCAGACGAGGAGGAGGAGGAGGAGGAGAAGGATCGAGGATCCGAGGATCGGAGGATCGAGGATCGAGGATCGACTCCTCGATCCAGCGGCGGAGCTGGACATCTGCGCGGAATCCGCCGAAGGGCCTTCCGACCAGCGGGGCATCCCTCCCTGGCCTCGCCTCGGGGCCGGGGCCTGGCTCGGGCTGGGGCTGGGCTCCTCGATCGATCCTCGATCCTCCTCCCGTTCCTCGGCACTGTTCGGTGGGCACGGCACGGGGCTGCGGCAGAGTTCGGCATAGCAACCGCGCGACCGCACGCGAGCAGCTTGCGCGAGAAGGTCGGCACAGTCGACCCCACTTTATCCCGTCGCTCAACTGATGAGGGCCCGCGCGGAGCGAGGAGGGGGAGGAGCGAAGAGTGGGAGGAGGAGGGGGAGAAGGAGGAGGAGGAGGAAGAGGAGGAGGATGACGAGGAGGAGGAGGAGGAGGATCGAGGATCGGAGGATCGGAGGAGCGAGGTACAGTCGGCACAGTCGACCCCGCTGTCGCCCGTCGCTCCAGTGCTGAGGGCCCGCGCGGATGTTTCCTGGATCGGCGCTGGGCCCCCCTCCCCCCCGGGCGGCGCCCTCTGGTGCCGCTCCTGGCGCGCTGCTCGCGCGCCAGGGCAGGGGATCCAGCGCCGATATATATAGATATATATATATATATATTGAAAACACAAAGAAAAGCACAAATCCCAGGATTCCCCAAAGATCCAATATGTCTTCTGGAAGTTCGTCTTCCTCCTCCACTTCCAACGTGTTCGCAATTCGTCTTCCTGGGCATCGACGCCTCTCTGTGCCTGATTGTGTGTCTGCTTGTGTTCCCTCCGGATTGTTGCAGGGCGCGGGGCTATGGCAGAGTTCGGTGGCAACGCATTGGTGTCTTGCCATCTTGCTGGCTCTTGCAAGTCGACGCTGAACGACCCTAACCGACGCTGATCGACGCTACATCGACGCTGATCGACGCTAAATCGGCGCTGCCCCATCGACTACCAAACGCTAGGGCACGCCAGTGCACTCTGAAGACGGAATTGCGAGATAAACAAGGCTCACATGATTTGCTGCCGAAGCAAAGCACTTGCTGTTGTATGCATCATAGCTGGAGCGAGGCTCGAGACAAAGGCGACGAAGCCTCAAAGTCTTAGCCGTCGGGGCTCCTCTAGTAAAGAGTCCTTTAGGTCCCTTTGGCCCTGTGATTTCTAAGTCGCTGTGGGCCACGAGGAGATTCACTGGCGTCAGCCCAGTGGACGTCGAACTCCTGAGGGGACTGGCTCAGAGCTCAGATTCACAGGCCAGGTGCAGGGACGGGTCCTCGTTGGTAGAACCCCTAGGCAGGACTGAACGAACGGGAAGACCTGACTCGAGTGCCAAATGAGATCAATCAGCATCGAATCGGACAATCGGATCGGATCGAAATGTGCGTCGGTTCGGGCCGCATCGCCACAGAATCGGAATCGGAATCGAATCGGATCGGCTAGGCCAGGAAGCACAACAGCGCCATGCAAGCATCGAGTCGCATCGGATCGCCAGAACATCGGAATCGAATCGGATCGAAATGGCCGAAACCGCAATCGCACCGGATCGATCGGATCGAACTGGGCCCTGAGCGAGGGGAGGGCAGCAGACCCGCAAGACCTGTCCAGGCAAACACCTGTCCAGGTTCGCGGGGATGCCTGGGCCGAGCCTGGGCGCCAGCTCGGAGCCTGGGGCGCCTCCACTCCCCTGCGGATGTTGAGAACGGCATCCAACTGCAATATCTCAGGAGGGAAAGAAACACACAGACACAATTAATCGTCGATTCCTCAGAAAATATGGGAAAATATGGGAAGTGGGGGGGAAGACAAAAACCCAGAAAATATGAGAAAATATGGGGAATTATTTTATTTGTGTGTATTTACTTGTGTGTCCTTGGGCCCCTCCAATATGCCTCTGCACGCCGTGGTGTCAGCTCTCGCCTGAGCGACAGGCCTCATCGGGTGCTGCTATCTCCATGGGGCGCTGCTGTACTGGAGCGTGGAGTGGACGTGCTGACCCCCCCCCTTAAAACGACGCGAAGATCGGGACAAAATCGGATCGGGAGAACTCGAAACTTCTGAGAATCGGGGGGGGGGGAGGATGTATTGGGCGCCGCGGCCGCTCCAGAGCGTTCCGGAACGCTCTGAGAGCGCTCCGGAACGCTCTGGAGCGATTGATCCCGATCCTGGCCCTGTTTTACCCCTGCCCCCCGCCAACTCGGGAGGTGCGCCGCCAGAAGCTGTCCACATCTGCTGCCGCGGGGTCGTGCCGCGGGGGCTCGGGGAGCGGCGGACGCGGCGGTCCGCCCTCCCAGGCGGGCGGGCCGGTCTCCGTACCCACCGCTCCCCGAGACCCAAGGGCACAGCTGCGAAGCGGCAGATGCAGACGCTGGGGGGGGGGGAAAGGAGGGGCCGGCTCACGGCGCACGGGGGGGAACAGTGACCTGGAATCGGCGATGCGTCGCCGATGGATCGGCGATTGGCCCCCGGCCCTGCAGAATTTCATCCGGAGTGGCTGTTTTGACGGCCCCTGGGTGCGGCGTGGGCCCCCTGAGAGCGAGAAAGAATCGAAAGCCGTCCGTTGCGATGCTCCGGCCACGCGAGCACGTCGGGGGTCGGCGCTGGTCTCAGCTCCCGTGGCGGGAGAACGCCCCCGATGACCAACGAAGGCGCCCCCCGCCTCTCCCGCGTCGACGGTGACGGGAGCCTCTTCTCTCGGGGAAGCACAAAACGGCACCGACACCGCTACCCCTCAGGCCTCTCCAGGGATACATTCTGACGAGAAGAGGCCGGCCGTGGTGACGAGGACGCTCCAAGACGAGCAGCTGTCTGGGCACCTCTTCCTCCACTGGCTGATGGCGCCCCCAAGGGGGAGGGCGAGGGGGGGGGCTTCTAGGAAAGCGGCGGCCCAGGCCACCGAAGATGAAACTGAGCTGACCCCAATGACCCAACATGATCCCGACAGGGCATCTTGAGAGTCTCAGGCTGCCTTTGCGATGACCCGTCTGATGGGCAGCGGGCGATGCCGAGATGGCCCCAAGGCCAGAAGATGAACCCACGCACATCAAGGGCGATTCCAAACTGGCCGAGCGACGCCCGCACTATCCAAACATGACGCGAGTGTAATCTGAAAGCGACCTGACGACAACTCTAAGATACATCCAATGTCGTTCGCAAGTCGACGCAGAGGGCGGTCACGCGACCTACATATCATGCGAAATTGATCCCAAGATGGCCGGCTTCAAGAGGCCCTGACGAGGGGTCCGCGGCGAGACGAAGGCGCGTGCATCGCCTGAAGATGGCATCAAGACGGCCCCACCACAGCAGGAGTCCGTGAATTTATGAGCCCCAGCCTGCGTCCAGCCGATCCCAACACGGCGGAATATGTCAAGGGCCCGTGATGTTGGTTTAGCCTATTTTTGATGGGTGGGATTGTGATCTGGCTGAATCAAACCTATGATGTTAAGAGGGCGGCGGGATCCCGGCCGACCCAGGAAGGAAGACTACCTTGCCAAGCTTCTACGGGGGCAAGGGGTTCCGAAGGCGCACTGGTACTACCGCCTAATTCCGCCGCCCTCGCAATACTTCTGCCGTCTTCCGCGCGGCGAGCGCCATCATAAGATTCGAGGACCTTTCACTGGGCCGATGTGGGGCCCCTAGAGGGGCCCTTTAGGGCCCAAGAGGGGGCCGTCAGGGCCCGAAAAGTGTAATTTTCGTCCCACCCCTGCATCGCCCCTCCACGAAGCGACGCCCAACTTAGAGGCCCTGGGGGCCTTCTACGACGGCCCTCCGCCCTCTCCCGAGGCCGCCCCCTTTGCGCTCCACACCCTCTGCGGGCGCCGCCAGTGGCTGTCCAGCGAGCAGAAGGCCCACCCACACACTAATCACCCTGACAAGTGAGGCCGTTCCGTAGATGCACCCAAGGAAAGCATCGAACAGGACAGAGCTGATTCGTCAACGCCCAGGGCCGTGCAGAAGACGCCTGTCCCTGGGGAGATCCGACGGTACCGATGCCACCGCTACGTGCTCCCCAGACCTCTCCCGGGGCGCGTGCTGACCAGGACTTCGAGGCGAATCCAGCGGTGGCGACGAGGGCCTCCCAGGAGGCCCAAAAAGGCGAAAACGAGGCGGGGGCAGCGGCACCGGTACCCTTTCCCCCTTCGAGTTGTGGGGGTCGGGGTGGTTATTCCTTCTTTGACCGCCGGCGCCCCCGAGCTCCACGTCGCCCCCGTCGCTGCCTCCCGTCGCGCCAGCCAGCCCGCAGAGCCGGCCCGCGCGGGAGCAAGCGCCACGGGACAGGGCGAAGCCAGAGAGGAGCAGCGCCGTGGCCGCGAAGAGGCCAGTGCTGTGGAACCTCGGCTCGCCCACCTCTGTGGAGTCCTCCCAAAATTCCCTCCTCCTCCTCCGCCTCCTCCTCCTCCTCATCATCATCATCATCAGCATCATCATTACCATCATCATCACCCTCCTCCTCGTCCCCCTCGTCCCCCTCCTCGTTACCCTCCTCCTCCGTATCAGCCTCCTCTTCTGAATAGTACGATTGTTCTTATTGGTATTATTATTGCGATTTTTATTATTACTCTTATTATTAGAATTAATATTATTCGTATTATCAGTATTATTATTAATCTTATTATTATTATTAGTAGTATTAGTGTTATTATTATTATTATGAATATTATTATTACTATTATTACTATTATTATTAGTGTTATTATTATGATTATTAGTTATAATGCTCTTCTTCCCCCTCCTCCTCCTCCTCCTCCTCCTCCTCCTCCTCCTCCTCCCCCTCCTCCTCCTGGTCCTCCTCCCCCTCCTCCTCCCCCTCCTCCTCCTACTTCTCCTCCTCCTCATCCTCCATCTCATCATCCCTTCTCCTCCTCCTCCTGCTCCTCCTCCCATGCTCTTGCTTCCCCCTCCTCATCCTCCTCCACCCCCTAGAACCTCATCCTCCTCATCCTCCTCCACCGTCCGCATCCGTCTCCTCCTCATCTCCTCATCTTCACCTCCTCCTCCACCGCCTCCTCCTTCATCTTCACCACCATCCGCCCTCCTCCATCGCCTCCTCCTCCTCCTCTTACTCCTCCTCCTCCTCCTTCCTTCTTCCTCCTCGGGTTCTCCTATCCTCCTCCTCCTTCCTCGTCCTCCTTCTCCTCCTCTTCCACCTCGTCTCCTCCCTGCACAGCCACCTCCTCCTTACCCCCTCCCCCTCCGCCTCCTCCTCCTCCCCCCTTATTCCATCATCCTCCTCCTCCTCCCCTCCTTCACCTCCTCCTCTCCTCCTCCCGCCTTCCTCCTCCTCCGCCTCCTCCCCTGTAGCCAGTTTGGTTCACGTTCGACCGCTCCTTTTCGGGGGGGGGGGGGGAGCTTGCCACAGCCGTGGGCTCGAGGTGCTGGCTAGTTGCCTGCCCTAGCGCGCCCTTGCCGCTGGGCGCCATCTCGTGGCGCTCCCTGGCGGCCGTGGCGTCGTCTTGCGGGCGTTCGGCCAGTTGCCTGCGCACGCTTCGGCTGGTTTTCGAGGCGTTCGGCAAGGTTCCGCGTCCGTCCGGCTGGTCGTCGATGCGCTCGGCAAGTGACCTGCGCCCTCTCCTGCTGGTCTTCGAGACGTTCAGCAAGGGTCCTCGTCTGTCTGGCTGGTCTTCCAGGCGCGACAAGTGGCCTGCGCCAGATTATCTACAGCACACTCGACCCCAAGGAGGTCGCAACGCAGTAATGCAAGGGTCAAGAATGACCATGAGTGGAGGCGGCTACATGAGGCAACAAACGACCTTCCTCAACTGCATCGGTTTGCTCCCCATGGCTTGCGGCAAGCCAGATTCCTCTGCAACGTTTGCTATGACGTCGGGAAGTTCTTTGTGGTTTAAGATCGCTCCTCCCTCCTCCTCCGTCTCCTCCTCCTCCTCCTTCTCCTCCTCCTCCACGAGTCATGATATGTGCGGGTCCTCCCAATGATCCTCGAACTGCTCCTCCTCCTCCTCCTCATCCTCCTCCATTTCCTCCTCCCCGCCCCTCCTCCTCCTCCTCCACGCCTCCTCTCTTCCCCATCCTCCACCTAAATCCCGTCCACCCCAACACTCCTCCTCCTCCTCCTCCTCCTCCTCCTCCTCCTCCTCCTCCTCCTCTTTCTCCTCCTCATTCTCCTCCTCGTCATCCTCCTCCTCATCCTTCTCTTCCTCTTCGTCCTCCTCCTGCTCTTCTTCAGTTTATCAATACTCGTAGTATCATTATGGTCGTCCGTATCAACCTCCTCTTCATATTCTTAGTACTTCGAATATTAATACTCATCTTACCAATAGTATCATTCGTATCCGTATGATTGTTCTTCGTCTTAGTAGTATTAGTAGTGTTCTTCTTATGTTGATTAGACATCGTCTCTGTATTGTTACTATTATTATTGCTCCTCATCCTCCTCTTCCTCCTCCTCCGCCTCATCCTCCTCCTCATCATCCTCCTCTTCCTCCTCCTCCTACTCCTACTATTCCTGGTCCTCCTCGTCCTCCTGCACCTCCTCGCTCGCTCGCTCCCTGGCTCCTCTCCTCCTGCTTCTCCTCCACCTCCTCCTCCTCCTCCTCTCCCTCCTCCTCCTCCTCCTCATCATCATCATCATCATCATCATCAGCATCAGCATCATCATCATCATCGTCATCGTCATCGTCATCATCATCGTCATCATCATCGTCATCATCAGCATCATCAACATCATCAGCATCATCATCATCAGCAGCTGCAGCAGCAGCAGCATCATCATCATCATCATCATCATCCTTTTCCTCTTTCTGCTCCTCCTCCTCCTCCTCCTCCTTCTCCTCTTGCTCCGGTTCCTGCTCCTCCTCCTGCTCCTCTTCTTCTCCCTCATCCTCCTCATCTTCCTCCTTCTCCCCCTCCTCCTCCTCTTCCTCCTCCTCCTCCTCCTCCTCTCCTCCGCCTCCTCCTCCTTCTCTCACCACCGCCTCCTGCTCCTCCTCCTCCTCCTCCTTCTGCTCTCCTCCTCCTCTCTTCTCCACCTAATCGCTCCATCCTCGCCTGCTCTTACCTATTCCACCTCCTCCTCCCTCCTCCTTCTCTTCCTCCTCCCTCCCTCTCCTCCTCCTCTTCCTCCTTGGTCTCCTCCTCCTCCTCCTTATTCCTCCTCTTCCTCCCTTGAACCTTGTCCTCCTCCTCCTCCTCCTTTCTCATCCTCCTCCTCTAACTCCTGCCTCCTCCTCTCCTCCTCCTCACTCCTCCTCCTCCTCCTCCACCACCTCCTCTCCTCCTCCTCCTCTACTCCTCCTCCTCCTCCTCCTGCCCCCTCCTCCTCCTCCCCATCTCCCTCCACCGCCTCCGATTCCGCCTCCTCCTCCTCGTCCTCCTCCTCCTCCTCCTCGTACTCCTCCTCCTCCTCCACGTCCTCCTCCTCCTCGTCCTGTCCACCACCTCCTCCCCACCTCCGCCTCCTCCTCCTCCTCTCCTCCTCCTCCCCCTTCTCCTCCTCCTCCTCCTCCTCCTCCTCCTCCTCCTCCTCCTCATTATCCTCCTCGTCCCCGTCCTCCCCAAACCCGTGCGGCGACAGACCGCGCGGTGCTCTTGGAATCCCCACTCGCCGCACGGTTCGTTGCCGAACGGTTTTGGGGCCTCGGAGGCCTCAGCTGCCCGAGACGCCGTCGGAGCGCGATCTGAGTCCCAGAACCGCGCTGTGGCCCCAAATCACCACGTTGTGTGGTCACCACGTTGTGTGGTCACCACGCTGGTCGGGGGCCCCCGAGTTTTTCGTTCGGTCTGCAGCGAAGGCGCGAGCCAGCAAAGCCGAAAGCCGACGGCCCGCGCGCGGCCAGGGCACACTAGGCAAGAGGAAGAGAAGAGAGCGGCCGCGGAGGGGGGACGCGGGCCGCGGGGGGGGCAAGCCCCAGGCGCAGAAAGCCCACGCCATGAGGACTGCGCAGGCGGCCTCAGGCGCCGAAAAACTTGTGCACAGAAAGGTGTGCGGTTAGGCCGGGCTGCGGAAGGCAAGGGCGGCGCGATCCCGTTCGAGAGAGGCCTCCCACATGCGCGCCCGCAGAACAGATGTCCGCACCCACTGCCATGGGATTGTGAACCGAGGGCCCGGGGGAACGCGGGATGGGGTTTAGGTCTCTTCACGATCCGAACAGCCCTTTACAAACGGAAGGGAAACTTCCGAACCAGAAAACAATTGAAATCTGTGCTCTTTTCCGCCAGAACAATAGTTCCAACCAGACAAACACTGTGAGGGCGAATTTGCAACCAGCACGACCTCTTTGCAACCAAACCGGCCACTTTGCAACCATGCAGCTCGCCTCCACACGCCCCTGAGAGCTTCTAAGAGGCCTCTGGGGACTTCCCCAAGGCCGTTGAGGGCTTCCAGAGGCCTCTGGGGAGTTCCCGAAGGCTTCTGAGCAGGCTCCAGGGGAATCTGGAAAAAGCCCCAGAGGCCTCGCGGAAACTTCAAGCAGTTTTTGAGAAGGCTGTAGAGGCCTCTGAGAAAACTTTGAAGGTTTTGAGAAGCTCCCAGAGGCCTCTGAAAAGCCCCCGGAGGCCTCTGACGAGCGAGAGAACTGCTACAACAAATCCTACTACTACTACTACGAACTACTACTACTACTACTAACTACTACTACTACTACTACTACTACTACTACTACTACTACTACTACTACTACTAACTACTACTACTACTACTACTACTACTACTACTACTACTGCTACTACTGCTACTACTACTACTACTACTGCTACTACTACTTTTACTACTACTACTACTACTACTACTACTACTACTACTACTACGGCTAGGACTACTGCTGCTACTGCTAATACTACGACTACTTATGTTGCTACTACTACTACTACTACTACTACTACTAGCACTAGCACTACTACGAGGACGGTTACTACCACGAGGACGGTTACTACGAGGACGGTTACTACTATGAGGACGGTTACTACGAGGACGGTCACTACTACTACGACCACCTCTACTACAAAGAGTGCCACTACTACCACTACGACCACGACTACTACTACGACTACCACGACTACTTCTACAACTACGAGTACTGCTACCACAACTACCACGATGCATTATAGTTCTACGACTACCCCCTACTACCCCCCACTACCCCCTACTACTACTACTACTACTACTACTACTACTACTACTACGACTACTACTACTACTACGACTACGACTACGACTACGACTATTACTACTAATAATACGATTACTACTACTACTACTACTACTACTACGACGACGACTGTTACTACCACTGGAATTACGCCTAAAACTACGACTGGTATTACTACTACGGCGACTACTACTACTACTACTACTACTACCACCACCACTACTACTACTACTACTACTACTA